CTCTTCTTGTGGCAAATAACAATTACGGATGAGGCTCAGGTTCTGCACTGCCATTGGTTCAAAGTGAAGTTCAAGCTTTGCAGTTTAGATGAACTAATGCTGAAATTATCCTGTGCAAATTCTTTATAGACATAATGCCCTGCAAATGCCATTGAAATTAGGTCAACTGGCTTAGAAGGGTAAATAATGAGGACTTTATTATATGTCAGCCCCTTCACTAAAAAGGGAGAGCAGAGAGCAGCCATAGAAGCTGCTATAGGGGTAACATAGGAATAGTTACACAGGGAAAGATGGCAGTGAAATTGTTAAAGTATTTGCATATTTTACATTTTGGCCTCACTGCCACATGAAAAGACTCTTTCTGCTGTGCCATATTTTTTTTTAATTTTGCATTGATACATGGGCAGCACAGTGGCTAAGTGGTTAGAACATCACATAGTAGCACCAGGGCCATCAGTTTGAATCCCAATCATGATATTTCTTGCCTGGAGTTTGCATGTTCTCCATGTGCATTACTGGGTTTCCTCCGGGTACTCTGGTTTCCTTTTACACTACAAAAACATGCTGGTATGTTAATTGGCTCCTGTCTAAATTGGCCCTAGTATGTATATGTATGAATGTGAGTTAGGGACCTTAGATTGTAAGCTACTTGAGGGCATGGACTGATATGAATGTATAAAATCTATGTAATGTGCTGGGTAAATTCATGGCACTATATAAGTAACTGAAATAAATATGTATACAATATGTCCTTCATGGTAATGGTCAACATTTTATTGTTTATTATTTTAACATGTTCAAAGCATGGACCATCCAAATTTTTACCAAAACATTTTGAGCTCTGAAACACCAACTTATTCTTTTGATGTTTTAGAATGAAACAAAACTTGTTCTGGCACTTCTGTTTTTTCTTTACCTCTGAGACCAATACATGTCTATAAGTTGACAGTCAGAGCCCCTGTACACTTCAGTATAGTTTATATTTTGACTGTGAGATAATCTGTTTTGAATCCAGTGCCCCTTACTTCTATCCCTCACACTGAATTTACTTTCTGTCAGTGAGAATATGAAATCCACCCACGTTGCACTCACTCTTCACTTTGTTATTTTATGGATACTTTCTTCTCAGAATTCATCTGGTGTAGCGCCTACTACACTTTGGCACCTGTGGTGCATCACCTCACAGTGCAGACATCTCTCAAATGTCCACATACCTGAAACAATGCCTATTTTAGATTATGTCCATCTGCATGGGTGTAGCCAAGCATTCCATCCACCTGCACTGATGTAACCAAGCATTCCTATGTTTTCTAGGATGTCAGCTGTATCAGTTCAGTATCCTGATTTGTAAATCAGGAGGCAGGCCGACCATGGTTTGTAGGAAAAAAATACATTACTTTACCCCATCAACACAGTCAGCGTTGATGGGGGAATCCCTCCCGTACATGTACTCAGTGAATGATAATAATAAACTTTATTTTATATAGTGCCTTTAAAAGTAACTTCTGAAAGCACTTTACAAAGACAAGAGAAACAAAAACACAAGTAATACACAGGATAAATCAAAAGGCAAAAAAGGGACAATTATGTGAAATCTTGACTAGAGAAAATCGTTTTTAGATTTGAGTTGAATGAGCTTAGAAAAGATGACTCTCTGATGTTCTTTGGAAGTGAATTTCAGAGTTTTGGGGCATAGCAGGAGAAGGCTCTGTCTCCCATTGAGTGTAAGTGAGTGAAGGGGACACAGAAGGCCAGAATTAGAGGAGTGGAGGATTTTAAAGTCTATGCGAAACCTGACGGGTAGCCACTGCAAGGACTTCAGGATAAGGGTTACATGATCACTTTTACCAGTCCTAGTCAGGATTCTGACTGCAGAATTTTGTGCATACTGTATTCAGTTAATAGTGGCTTTAGGTACAGTAGGCGAGTAGAGCATTGCAGTAGTCAAGTTGGGGAGAACACAAATGTATGGATCAACTTTTCAGCTGCAGTGTATGATAGCATAGGATGCAGCCTAGCAATGTTTCTCAAGTGGAAAATAATGTTCTGACAACATCAAAGGTTAAACTAGCATTAAATATAACCCCTAGATTTTTAAATTTAGACTTAAGCTCAAGTACAATGCAATCTACAGTTAGGGTATCAGGACTGACCCTTCATAGTTGATGGGGGATGCCAATAAACAATATTCAATCTTGAAAAAACTTCAATCTTGTCATAGTTTAACTGTATTTGCAATACAAAACATGGATAGCCCACAATTTCCTTCAATTAGATAGAAGAAAAGCAAGTAGAATCCGGTTGAGTGAGGATGTATAAGTTTATGTGATCTAATCAGTTGGCCAAGTGGAAACGTAAATGCCAAAACATAAGGGACCCAGGATTGAACCCTGAGGAACACCAAACTTGACTGGACCAACTTTAGACTGGAATCCACCAAGAGAAACAAAATGTCAAGGAAAAGTTCACCTTTTTTTTCTAAATTCCAGCTGCCCTATGTACCAATATACCATTAAAGTACTTCTTTTGCAGAAAAGAAGACAAAGCTTTCTATTTGTCTTAGACCAGCCCTTACCTCAGCCTCACTGTCCTGTTGAAAACTCCTGTCCAGAATTTGATATTCAGGATGGGAGAACCAGTAGAAGGAAGTAGTTTACCAGCTGACCTCATTAACACACACCTTGCACCTGTCCTCCTCCAGGAGATGGCTCCCACCCACCTCTGAAGGTGCATGCATTCCCAATGCAATCAGCAATCACTGTTCTCACAAAAGATACAGCCATCAATTTTTTTCCTATCTTACCTAGATTGCATAGATTACTAATTTGGCAGAGTGTGCAGGACCTGAGCAATCACAGCTACAGCTGGAGAAGAGCTGTAGTATTGGAAACAGGAGAAATGTGTTTTGGAAGTCATGCAAACCCAACATATACTATACAATTGTACTGTACAATCTCCTTTAGATCTACCATCAACTATGTAGTTCAAGGGTTTGCCTGACTGGATACAGAGTGATTGGATAGATGGTGTGTCCTCCTATTATATAGTTTTAGTAAACCTAGAGGAGATCATACAGAGATTGTAGAATCAGATTATACAGTGTATGGTCACCCTTATACACCTAAAATGAATTAGTCATGCTTTTTTAGACATTACAAAACCTGTGTGCAATCACTATAAGTGACACTAATCAGATGCAAAGAAATGCACAAAAAAGTGAAAAGTGTTGCCGCCATGTCCTCATATGTCCACACCACATGTATAATAAACAATATACTTATCAGGACAGTGCTACAATCCTGCAATACAAAAATATTCTTGTCAAAGACCTCACAACACTGAGAGGCAATGTATCCCTTTGTAAAAATCAAATGTCCATACATAAATGCCTCATATCAGAACTAAAGAAATAAAATCAAAGTCACATCTTTATCAAATTCCATCCAGATAAGATCCCTCATATCTGAGTGCATGAAGTAATGATACATAGGATCACCACTTATGAAGTACCATCACCATCTGCCTCCCACCTGATGGAACGCGTAAGTTGTGGAGAGTGACATTTCAAACCTTAATGGAACATACGAGGGCGATCGTTAACAGGAGATAATCAGGAGATGAGCGCACGGGAGGGAGGACACTGATTCCTCTCACAGAATCCCCACCAGGTGCCGCTGGTATAAGGAATATCTGTTCTGACCACTTCTGGTATCTGTAGTGCACCAGGATAGTGCTCCCTATTTGTGAGTGCATTCATTTTTATCATTTTTAATAAATTGTGTGTACAATTTATTGACACTATGTCATTATTTTTTTCCATACATATACCCATGATTCATCTTCATCGGAGGCTCTGAGTACTGTAAGATGAAGGATATCCCCTTAACCCAGGGACAATAGGGTTAAAGGCGCTACTAGACCAAAATTTAGTAGGTTTTTCCATCAGGTGGGAGGCAGATGGTTATGGTACTTCACAAGTGGTGATTATATATATCATTACTTCATGCACTCGGATATGAGGGATCTTATCTGGATGAAATTTGATACAGATGTGACTTTGATTTTATTTCTTTTGTTCTGATATGAGGACTTTATGTTTGGACATATAATTTTTACAAAGGGATACATTGCCTCTCAGTGTTGTGAGGTCTTTGACAGGAATCTTTTTGTATTGCAACATTGTAGCGCTATCCTGATAAGTATACAGTCAAGTCTTCTGTGACATTAATTGTTAACGATACCTCAAACGCAAACACACCTTTTGTTGCATTAAGAAACAAGCGATAAACCCACTGTGTCTGTGTACACTTTAAATATATATATATATATATATATACTATATTGCCAAAAGTATTGGAACGCCTGCCTTTACACACTCATGAACTTTAATGGCATCCCAGTCTTAGTCCGTAGGGTTCACTGTTGAGTTGGCTCACCCTTTGTAGCTATAACAGCTTCAACTCTTCTGGAAAGGCTGTCCACAAGGTTTAGGAGTGTGTTTACGGGAATGTTTGACCATTCTTCCAGAGGTTAATTTGTGAGGTCAGGCACGGACGTCGGGCGAGAAGGCCTGGCTTGCAGTCTCCGCTCTAATTCATTCCAAAGGTGTTCTATCAGGTTAAGGTTGGGACTCTGTGCAGGCCAGTCAAGTTCCTCCACCCCCCAAACTTGCTCATTCATGTCTTTATGGACCTTGCTTTGTGCACTGGTGCGCAGTCATGTTGAAACAGGAAGAGTCCATCCCCAAACTGTTCCCACAACATGTCTTGGCATGCTGACGTCTTAAGAGTTCCCTTCACTGGAACTAAGGGGCCAAGACCAACCCCTGAAAAACAACCCCACACCATAATCCCCCCTCCACCAAACTTTACACTTGGTACAATGCAGTCAGGCAAGTACTGTTCTCCTGGCAACCGCCAAACCCAGACACATCCATCAGATTGCCAAACAGAGAAGCGTGATTGGTCACTCCAGAGAACACATCTCCACTGTTCTAGAGTCCAGTGGCGGCGTGCTTTACACCAATGCATCCGATGCTTTGCATTGCACTTGGTGATGTAAAGCTTGGATGCAGCTGCTCAGCTATGGAAACCCATTCCATGAAGCTCTCTACGCACTGTTGTTGTGCTATTCTGAAGGCCACACAAAGTTTGGAGGTCTTTAGCTGTTGACTCTGCAGACAGTTAACGACTTCTGTGCACAGTGAGCTCCCACATGGAAGAAAAATATATTTGAAATATATTTTAAAAATATTCTTCTCAAATATATTGACATATATTTGAAATACTACAATTGTGGCCATATTCAATATATTTCAAAATTTATTTCAATACATATATATATATACTGCATGTTGAATTTATATTTTTACATATATTTGTAAATGCATTCCAAAAATGTAGATTAAATGTATTTTTAAAGACATACAGTATATTTTAAAATGTATTCTTAAACATACTTTTCATATATTTTGTAATAATAATGCATGTCAACATACAGTATATATATATATATATTTATTGAAATATATTGAATACGGCTAAAACTGTAGTATTTCAAATCTATGTCAATATATTTGGGAAGAATATTTTAAAAATATATTTTAAAATATATTTTTCTTCCATGTGGGCTTCAGCATGCGCTGACTCCACTCAGTCATTTTACATGCCCTTCCACTTGGTGGCTGAGTTGCTGTTGTTCCCAGTTGCTTCCACTCTGTTATAATGCCACTAACAGCTGAGCGTGCAATAGTTAGTAGCAAGGAAATGTCACGGATGGACTTATTGCACATATGGCAACCTATCACGGTACCACACTTGAAATCACTGAGCTCCTGAGAGCGACTCATTCTTTCACAAATGTTTGTAGAAGCAGTCTGCATGCCTAGGAGCTTAATTTTTATACACCTGTGGTCATGGAGGTGATTTTGGAAAACCTGAATCCAATGATTTGGAGGACTGGCCCAATACTTTTGGCAATATAGTGTACACACATATATATATATATATATATACACACACACACACACTTTATATTTCCAGTGTCACCAGATATTATATTTGAAAAAAGATCTAATAACTTTTGCAGCAAATTGTAAATACAAATTTTTAAATATTTGATAAAAAAAAATCAAGAATTGTTTCGATATCAATCAATGATCAGCCGAAGAGTATTTTGCCTTCTATTTATGGCTTTGAGTTAAATTTTAGTAATGAACACATGCAGCCCATGGCTTCAAGAAGGGGGCAGTAATTGGAAGAGACAGCTTTCTCTGTTTCAACTACAAAGCTATAATGAGTTGAGGGTATATGGTGGGCAGAGAGGGCATGGGAACAGGTGTGTGTCCCTGTCAGAAACACCTGCCCACAATTCTAACTAATTACTCGAGCTGCCAGGCTCTAGGCAGGAGGGAGCACCTGGCCTAATCCATCTTAATTAGCCAATGTTTTTTTTATTTGCTCTGCCCCTTGACTTGTATATGGGGGGAAAACAAAATTGGGATATTGAGGTAAAATAAAATACATTTATTTCATTTTTCAACAGCTAGGGCTTTACCATATGTATATGATGTTGTACATTATTGGATTTGAAATGTTTTTAATAAATAGAATGCTGCCACAAATGTCATTGCTTACAAGACTATGCAGACATGCTTGATTTGCATCAACGAACAATATATAAAGTGAATGTGTGAATATCTTACTCTAGTTCCTTGATGTTCAATCATGCGTGCCAGCTTTTATCTGCTCTTTCGTTTACAGCAAAAATTTGTACATTCCAACATATCCTAAACCTTAAAATGCTCTTGTCAGAGCCTTCAGCAAACAGAACAGTGAAAATCACAGAAGTGATATCATCAAATCTTACTCCACTTCTCTTGAAAGTTGCAGTCAGAGATCAGTGCCTTAGATCTCATATAGATACAAATTTAGGGTCTATTCACAAATAGACATCTACACATTAAAACTGCCGCAGTTTACGGTCTGGTAGCTGTCCATTTCGGCTTCAGTGAGCCAGCAGTAGGGGGCAGTGTGGTGCATAATTAAGCACATTACACAGCACCCTTTTTTTACTCAAGAAAACTTTATTTGAAGCTTACACAAGAAACACGTCATTCATGTCACTGTACAGCAGCATTTCACATTGTACTGCTGTACAGTGACATGCAATCTTGTCCAGTGAGCAGAAATAAAATGAAATATGTCTGTATTTTATATCAGATCACTGCAGCACAGCTCTGTTCTACTCTTCAGTGTGAACAGGACACATAGAAAGCAATGGTTTTATTTGTATCCTAGTGATCAAAGGCATTTTCCAGTGCAGAAAAAAACCTGTCACTGCACTAGTGTGCATTGGTGCTTACAGCTATGAGCTCATAGGCAGAGGAGTGTCCAGGCACAATCACATATCAGGAGCAAGTACTCTGCTGTTTTTTAGGGGGAATTGAAGACTTAGCCCCAGTTCTCACTGGATCTGACCTTGAAGTCACACGATTTCAAAGTCGGATGGCAGTGTGACTTCAGGTGTGACTTGATAGACATCTGTGCGACTTCATGCACAGATGTCTATACAAGTCGCACCTGAAATTTGGAAAAAGTAATGCAGGAACTACTTTTCAAATCAGTGCATCTCTGATGAAGTTGGAGTCTTACCGATTATTATTATTATTTTTATACAGTATTTATAAAGCGCCAATAGTTCACTCAGCGCTGTACATTACAAAGGGGGACAGAACATGTGACAGAACAATACCAATACAATGCAAAACATGAGGGGATCAAGGGCCCTGCTCTTTCGAGCTTACAATCTAGGAGATTACAACGGTTCCATTGCCTATCATTGTATGCAATTTGTCATTTGCTTTGAATATTCAAATCACATGACAATTCGCATCAGTGTGAACCAAAGGGCTAAAGGATATGTTTTCAAGATTCTGCTTACTGTAGGTACAAGTAACATTTTTAAATGTTTCCTGTAACATGGCAATATGTCACTTTTTGTATTCAGGTCCACTTTCATTTTCATGTGATTTTAAACAGAAAGGCAGAGAGATGTTCAGAAGCAGATTATTAGTACATTATATAGTGTAGATCACAATCCATAACTTTCGATAGAGCTGTTGCACCTTAATAAAACTAAAAATAAATATTTAAAAAATGCAAACAATCAGTATTTTATTAGGCAGAGCTTGTGGATGTGATGTCATGACGTTCCCTAGGCTGTCTGTGTATGCCGGAGGAGGCTGGGTTTGTCTCTGATATTGAGAATGCTGATTTTGCTGGTGTCGGCTGGGACACCTTTGACTGTGAGTGCAATGGTATATTTTTTAATAAAATTGTTTTAATGATACTACACCATGAGCTTTCTTCTCTTGATTCCCGAGTACTGCTATGAGTGTATGAAGAGGCGGTGACTATAAAGTGATATCCCACATTTGCTGAGTATCCTCCTGCAGAGTTTTGCTCCCAGACCATATGAATATTGCTGATGATTTCCCTGCAGATTATTGCTCCCAGAGCAGAAAGAGCTTATGCTGATTTATAATCTGATCAGCATATGGCTGTGGTGAGTTCATTCAATTTATCTGGTGGTGGATTTTGTCACGGTGAATTTATTTGGACACTGAAATATTGATTTGAAAATATTTTTCGTTTAAAGACACAAAGGAAAAAGATCATCTTTCACTGGTGTTTGGACTTTATTTGGCACGTATAATTATATTTTTCACTATTTTTGGACATTATGAATTAGTTATATATTTAGATATTGTGGATATAATTTTATTGAGTTATATGAGCGCAAACCTATTTTTTCACTGAATCAGTATTTTATGATGGTGCTATCATGAGACTAGAATATAACAAGCTTGTAAATCATAGATTGATCAGCATTTTACAATTCTTGTCATTTTGTTTTTAACTGGGCCAGTTTCTATCTCTGTTTGAACTGAATCATATGCTTAATGCAGATCAAAAAAGGTAGTGCAACTGTATTTTTAAGAAATTCCCCTTTAAATCTCTACAAACTTCCCGGCAATGCCAGATAGAAGTGGATTCTTATAATAAGCCAACATGTTATTGCATTTTTTTCATTGTTTGTTTTATCCATGATGTATAGACTGTGGCTCAGTTGACATTCTGACTTACAGTTCAACCTTAAGGTTTTTTAATGTCTTTTTGTGATGTAGCCTTTACGTCTTGTCCTTAATAATTTACAGGACAGTTAAAAACAGAATGCTTTTAGGGCTTTTTAATTAGAGGCACCTTCTTTTTTTATTACTGTTTCTGAACCTGGGGCATAATGTGCAGTTTAAAATATTAACCAGCATAGACTGGAGGAAGAACATCCCACCCTAGGATCAGAAATGTCATTTTATATCAAACATATTGTTAATGTGCATATTGAAAAAAAAAGAAAAAAAGACAAAATTGCGTTTAAAGGTGTGTACAGCTTTTTGCATGTATATTTTCCTTGTATTATTATCAGGACTATTTTTTTTTTTTTTTGCTCGATCAAATGTGACATTTTGTATATGAATATTCCATATTTATCAGCAAGCAGCAAACACCAGGTTCTGCCCCAGGCTTTTTTGAACTTGAGTTACTGCTACTCTCTCAACAGCCTGTTTTGTGAATGGAACGGAGCAACAGTATATCAGATTGTACAAATCTGATTAAGCTGTGGGACATTCCCCTCTGTCAGCAAAGACATGACCCATTTGGACCCTACTGCTGCCCAAATAATGTTTATTGATAAATCTGAAGCCAGATGAAAAAAAAAGGATACCAAGTTTACAGCTGCAGTCATGAGCTTGTCTTAACCACTAAGAGCTCATTCACACTAGAATGCAATGTGGGGGAGCCGTGGTCCCGTGCGGCTTCCTTCACCGCATTCTGATCGAAATGCCTTGCAATCTGCTGCAGGGGTCAGTTAAAAGTTAATAGCCCAAACACAGATTGCAAATGAATTGTGTTTGCCCACACTGACCTGCACCAAATCTCATGGTAGAAGTACCATGCGATGCGGGTGCCCTGCATTTCAAAAAGTAGTGCATAGGACTTGAAACCGCACTGCACACAGCTGCAGATGAATCGCACAGGAACACTCAGCTAGGGGCATAATGTGAACCGGCCTTTAACTTCCATTCAGCTTATAAACAGCCTTTAGTAGCAAGTGGCTAAACCATAGAAGCAGTGAACAAGGTGCAATCAATACTGGAATTCCTATTATTAAAGAAATCATGCTTGCTAACTAAATCACATTGAAAAACCCTGAATTAATTTAAATGTGTATTTGTAAAATAAAAAGGATGTAACATTAATTTATAAACCTAATAATGTTCAAAACAATATAAAATACAATTGACTGAAAGCCTTTAAAATTTCTTCATCTGGCTTGACAACATACTTGCTGAATGTTTCTTATTTTTAAATGCTGAATTCCAGGCAATCAAAGTAAGCAATTAAAAAAATAAATGGTAAATGTCTTACTTGCCAATGGATTTGTATTTTAAAGCAATTCTGAAATTTACACAGCACAGCCAGATTTGTGTGCAAGTTCAATGAAAAAAAGGGATTCCAAGAGTGCTGGGACTTTGATATGAGTTTAAACACAAGTCTCCCTTGCCATTTTGTCATAAGAAGGCATAGCTACAGTGACCTTTCCCTCCTCCTTCCTTCAGTTTATACAATACACAACTGTTAACTGATGCTAGACACCCCTTATCCATCTGTTAATAGGACTAGCAGAATCTAACCCCCAATACACATCTCAGGGCCCATAAAAGTGTCCGACTTAGCCGCTTCAGTGACTAGAATGTTAACAGACATTGGTACATAAATACCTTAGTTGGAAGTCTGTAGAATACAGATAACTGTCTCTCAGTAGAAGCCATCATCATCCCACTATATTTCATAACTTCTGAAATTATGACAGTATAGCCAGAATAAAGTCATA